GTACAGCGGAAGGCACCACAATCCACGAAATGGTGTCCATCATAGGAGTGCAAAGAAGGCCAATGTCAGAATGGCTGTGAACTGTCCGTTCACATTTTTCTTTCATTTCTTTGTTGTGACTGTATGACCTGCGAATTGCGACCATCATTTCCATTCAACTTCAGTGAAAAAACGTTGAAATTGCATAAGCGCGTACAATGAACAAAGACTGAAAATTTTCTTCATATATATACACATACACAGCAGCAATCCTCTATGGATAAGGCTAGGTGTCTGTTGGAGATTTCGATGAGGTAACTCTCCCATTTCATCCAGGTTTATAGTAAAAACTAGTGGTCTAACGAGATATCAATGATAATTCTGGTTGACAAACTTCCCTACGTCTTATACATATTTTTGACCAGCTCTTGACCAATGAAATACCTCTTGATGCTCTTTAATAGCTTCAATGACTTCATGGAAATTCTTTCTGTATACAAATCCGCATTTTGACCCACAGTCCATATTCGCATCATTTTTGGTTGTCTGGATCCGAAAGGTTTCACTTCTCATTGAAGCAAATTCTCTGTACAAAAATGGGCGTATGTACATATTTAATTTATACCGTCGTTCAGACTTCGAGTTTTTTGGGTCGTTGGCACCGGATAGTTCGATGTCGAAAATATCTTAGGGCGGCTCTTCTTTTACTTCGGCTTCGACTTTCTCATTTGGCATTGTGCTTGAAAAATTATCTCCACTCATAAGATTACCATGAGAATTATAAATCTCATGGACTCATTTAGCGCATTCCTTTCTAAACCAACGAGATCAATGTGTCATTCAATAGTAATGCAATGATGGTCGATCCGAAAGTTATGTTCAATTTTCTCATTGCTTCTTCATTCGTGACCTGTCATCTGCTGGCTCGTTTTGGCTCAGAAAATCTGACTCCTAGTGGCTGAGACGTCTGGCCAATGGTTCGTAAACAATAAGGCAAGAAATCGATCCGGTACAACTCATCTGTTGTTTTCATGAGGAATTTTGCCTTTTACCTTCTTGAACGGTGATCTTACCTTCCGTTGCAACTTGAAAGCATGCGCTGTGTTCACTTCTGCCTTGATGATGAAAACAGACCCAAAATGCATGGTTTGTAAATGGTAAACGATGGTTCTAATTTCAGTTGAACCTTCAGGGCTTTCCATTTTGCTTTAGTATACCTTGAACATTCTTTTCCCCACTTTCCGGTCAATTGTTAGAGTGCAAGTTTGGACTTGGGCTATCAGGCATTTGAACACATCATCTCCGGTGGCAAGGGATGGCTTGGTCTGAAGGTCTGATGCAGATGAACGTGCGTTGATTTTCTGTACTCCAACGTTTCAATTGAACCACTGGTTAGACAATTCCCTTTAGAGTCCAGGAATGGAATTGTGTCACCTTTCTATTCCTTCATTTCGAGCCATATTTCTAACGCCATGTACCTGAGGTGGTTGAACGGCTCCTTCACGTTGAAACTGAGGTCAGCGTACCACGGTTCGCTATGTTCAGAAAATCCGCTTTCCCTTAAAACCACAAAAACATGCAGATTTTTTGGTACTCGTGACCAACGATGTGATGTAATTGTGCCTAAGCCTCGTTTTATGCAGTTACATGAAAGAAGATATCCCGATCGTCGCATATTTATGGTTTTTCATGCCCAATATGTCACTAGTGAAATGGTGGCATTTACAGCACTCTGTCTTTTTTAAGACAATACTATTTGTTATTTATATGGGTGAAAATACCATTATCAAGCGTGGTAAAAACAATATTAAATTTCACTTTCTCTTTAGTTCTATTTTATGAAGGGAAAGGTGATTCATTGTTTCCTGACTGGCACCTGTGGTAACAATGTAAACTTGTTTAGTATCGCCATCGATCATACGGCACGACGATGTTTCTGTCGACGCTTGAGTCAGAAGAATCCAACGTTTGTCATTGGCTGAAATCGTCACTAAACTTTTTTTGTACACGGTGAATGACCAACTGGACAACTGGAGGCCTGGCCTAGGCCTTGAGGTTGGTCGGTCGGTCGGTCATCTTGGAGAAGGAGACCCCGGCGTTGGCCCATGTCCACTTTCGCGCTGCGTTTTTCATGTTCGTCGCTCGCTGTCGCTCTTCACCGCCGACGTGAATCTGGTTTCATGCTCGAAGTCGTCGTCACCGGTCACCGGTCACCGAAGCTAACGTCTATCGATTGTTGACACTTAACCGACATTGGCATTGCTGAGTCCATGGCCGTCTCGAATGACGACGTGGTTTCTTTGACGAAACCGCAAAGTCAGACATACGGAAAACCGCCACTCGCACATGCTCCCCAATCAGCGCTACGCCGGCCTCTGAAATACCGTTAGATGTGCTTGCTTCGACTGCTTTGGCTGATCCGACTTGACACCTAAATTTGACCTGCAGCACCACACGAAACATATACAGCATCAGGGATCAGGAATTTGCGAAATCCACTGCTCTTGGTCTTCACTTAATCTTGGCTGATAACCGGGAAATTCCAAAATATTTACAACGCACCCAGCAGAGAAAACGCTAGGGAAGTTGTTAAAGAGTAAATTCTGTTTATGCGGATGAATCTGCATATAAACCAGTCAGTATATATTATTTAGGCCTCAGTAACATCTGTCTCCTCAAGCACTCATCTACAGTTCATATTAAGACTTTCACAGTGACTATCTAGAATATGCTCCGCCATACTTTGCCGCTGCTTGCGGACTTTGTTACACTGAGAGTCACGATCACGAAACGGAACCCGTCGAAAGCAACTAAAGCAATATCTTATGCTGAGCGACTCGAATATCATGGGCAGCCATTTTCTAACTTAATGAACTCATACGAATGAGTTGAAAAAGAGGGACAGCGCATTTCATTAGATTCAACAGCATGAGGATGATTTTATGAGCAAGCTTCCTTCCACTGTCTCTTGATTTGCTTTGTTTCGTCTTAGTACTGTAGGGAACGATAACGGTAACCCTGCTTATCTACCCACAGCCAAAAGACTGTGAGTGAGTTCGATGCTGTTCTGTAAGTCATCCACCTTTCCGACGAATAATCCAACGAATTAAATACATGTATATTCAAACACTGTTGCGTCCATGTAAATTATTAGCATAATCGTATGGCCTGTGAAACGCGGGACGGTCTTCTAGCATCTGAACAATCTGCATGATGATAGCACTGGTCAGCTGGCCGCAAAACAGTACTTGAATACGTAACTAAAAAAAATCTGGTCTAAATTTGACTTGCTGTGAACAAGCCTTTGGATAGTGTGATGCACTTGCTGCAGTTTTTTATGAATATTTATGAAATATCTAGCTGCGCGTAATTGCCGCACCTTTCCATTTATAAGTCATCTCCTCTACTGATTGTCGGTCAGTATTAGTTTGATTGAGGGATATTGTAGTCATTAAGGCATTGGCACCATTCACTGACTTGTTGCTTCTTTTAGGGTTACTTAATTGAGCAGGGAGGTAGCAGCTGACAAAAAATGACTGTCTGCCTTGGAACCTAAAATGTAGCGTAGCGTAACCAACATGCTACTCTTCGTTTTGCGTATATTATTACGGTACTTTATTACTGCATCAAAAGCTCCCTATATAGTTAATAACTGTGGCCACGGTTTTTCAACCGGTAACGTATCTGCGGTCGAAACCGGAGTTGTGGCATATCGCCTCTGGGTGTGTGATCGTAAGACCGTGTCTAACAGCCAAACGGGCCAAGTGTTTCCGTCGTTCGCCTGAAATCGTACTTGTGTAGCAACGCGTTTGCGGAAAGCGGTTTTTCCCGAAGCGCGTTGCTTTGCTGCGGTTTGACGCTGGTCAAATTTCTTCATGCATAACTTCAGTACGATACATCAATTATGTGGCACATGCCAAGGTGACCGATGACGGACGTCGTCGTCGTCGTCGTCGCTGATTTGATTCGATTCGATCCGATTCGATTAATCACTTTCACTTAGAGTAACCACACCTGTAACAGGGTTTTTCCTAAAGCGGCGGTTGACCAGGCAACGCTACGCTGTTAGTCGCCACCGTCTAATTGTAAAACAAAAGCATCGTTGCATACTGTAACTGTTGTTTGTCGCCTCGTTTTCTGCAATCACAACAATGAACGAGTATTGATTTTCTCAGGCTTACCTCACCTCGTCACGGTACCGTCCCGGGATGTGTTCAAGATGCTCAACGACAGTCTGGAGCTGCTCTGCGACGCCGTCGGTACACCCACGCCTAGCATACAATGGCTTAAGGTAAGCTGGTGTAACGCGTTGTCAAAACCATGTGGTCAAGTGGATGAGTAACCATTTTTCAGTTTCCAATTATCAGTTCAGTTTGAGTTAAAGTTTGTTTGAGACAAAAGTTGGCCATAGGGGTTTGCTATAATTTTCATGTAGACTTACTACAAACAAAAAATAGATGCTTCTGGTTTGTTCGAAGTATCCTGACACCATGAGATCGTATATCCGTTAAGTTTCAATAAAAGTGATTTTTGTAATACAAGCGACAGAGTGACACGTTGCACCTGGGCTTCGCTTGTCTTGTCAGTCGTCCACCTGAATTCCGGAAAAACCAGGTAATACTATCGCTGCGGTCGTGCAAAAAGTGCCATTCAAATTCAACGATACAATAGTGTGATCAACTTGAAGCCGATTTTCACAGGTAGCAAAGATGATGAAATTCTGACCTAGTCACTTTACGCGTTATACTCCGAGGACAGAATGCATCAATTTTTTGTGTAGTTTACTGCGTTGCTATACCGAAATACTAGCACACCTGATTATGTTACTATTCATAACATGAGGGTAAGAATTCTGGCAAAAATATCTTTCTAACATCTATACTAGTGTCTTCACCTTGTATTTTTCTGCACTATCATAGATATCACAAAAATACAATGACAAAGCAGGCTAAGGCAAATGAAGACATTAGTGTGTTCCAAATGACTATCATAATATCGTCATATATCTTTGTATTCCAATCCGAATATTATAAACGTACTAATAATGAGCATTTGAGACATGCATTGGTGGTCCTGCTGAGAACAGCATAAAGCACAGCATATTGATGCAAAGCGCCAAACAATTTGATCAATTGGCAAATCAGAGACCTTCTGATTCCAACCTACGAACTGTTGCGAACGATAAAATAGATCGACAAATCTCTTTACCTTGAAGAAGGCTTGAGAGACACAGACCAAAACATCGGTACTGGTCAACTACTAGATTGTCAAAGATTCTACTATACGTTAAACATAGTTTGAAAAACCAAACTGATATTTTCATATGACTTTCGGTGTTCTTCTGTTCGTATCCCAATGGTATATCCATTGGCATACAAAAGTACAAAGCATATGAAGATTGTATAGAATGTTGTTTGAATGATTCACGGTTCGGGACATCAAATGCAGCAGATGGTAAACAGTATATTGCCTACGTTTTTCTCTGCATATACCAAAGCTTCATAATGGCTGGATTCAGTCTAGTTTTCCTGGAGATCTTGGTAGAGATATTTTTGTAATATAATAGTGATATCTTCACGTATCTATGCATGTACGTTTATAATATCTGCAGTGGAATATGAAAACACAAAGATTGTGAAGATATTACATATCTATTATTGTAGCATAGATGTTAAAAATGTACTAGTCTATGAAAACACTAACTTGGCAAAACTTGGTAGGCCAGACTGAACATCTGCAGGGCAATCTTTCGTCTGTGCTAAAGTTGTACCTCCGTGTATGTTTCTTCATCCCCTGGTAGGTTGAGTGAATATTCCTTGCAATGATGGAGCTCTATAGCTAAAGCGCGTTTTCCTTTGCATATTCTTATTGACGATTTATGATTTATTTAGTTTAATCAAATTAAATTTCTTCATTCTGCCCCATTGAAAACGCTTTCGTTTTTGTGCAATACTTTTCTTTGAATATTTCATTGTTCTTCAGTCTGGCAGATGGTTTTCTGTTCTCGTGTTGAATCCACTGCATCTCTTCACCCGTTCCTCTCCTCAGCCTCAACCGGACCGTCTGGCATTTCTGTCGCTCGCCATAAGGAAGCTATTTCGCTCATCCAAAATTTGAAACCATGCTCACTATTTCCCAGACGGTTCTATCATTCGAAGATGATCAGAAAAACACAGACCATCTGGCACACGTCGGGCGAAACTCTGCAGCGGATGTGTTCTGTTCAAAACACAGTGCTCGAGACTCGGGATCTGGCGGTAAGCCGCGCTCAGAGGTAACGAGAGGAGGTCAGATGGCTGCCGTCGCTGTGAGTAGCTGCAGCCGCGGCGCGGACCGAAGGACATTAATCATCACCGTCCCGACGACATGTGGTCAGATGAGCTTCTGGTTTGTCTGACTGTCAAACGTTGGGCGATTGACAGGGTTCACCGCCGGTACGCGCCACCGGCAAGAAGCCATCAATAAAGCGCAGGCGTGTCTGACGGCTGCGTTACAGGTTCGCCAGCGACGCTGAGGTCATTGCTGCACGGACTTCGTGCAATGATCAAAATTTACTTTCGCCCGAGACCCCAAGGCATGCCCAAAGGTCAAGAGGACCGGCGGAGACGATCGATGAATGAACCACTAGAAAATTGCGAAACTACGCATTGAGCCGTTGCATGTGCATGTGCCGCGGATGGCAAACGGAGGCAAGAGGCCAGCAGGCAACGTGCATGAATATTTGTTGCCTCTCAAGGCTGATGTTACAGTTGGGTAGCCGTAGGCAGTCCCTACAATCGAGCTATCTGAAGATTCTAGCTGTTGCTAAAGAAACAATGGCGGTTCAAGAATTGGATGGAAGATGAAGGGCAAATTCTTCAAAAAATGTACCATGGTCAGTTCTGGCGATTTCATGTGAACTGACCGGTAGCCGTGCTGGAAACATGAACACTCGCTTGTCTGCAGGCAGGCAACCAGATCTCGCTGGCTGCTGATGTATGAAGAATCAGCGATCAGCAAATCACATTTCAGGGCAAGCTGAACAGATGTTTATTCCGTGGCATTCCGTAGCACA